ATCCGATCCGTGATCCGATCCGTGATCCGATCCGTGATCCGATCCGTGATCCGGTCCGTGATCCGATCCGTGATCCGATCCAGGTTTTGTCGACGCCATATTTCACTCACTTTACTGTGCACATTCGTAAAATATTATTTTTACCACTCAAAAATGTAATTCATATCTTTTCACCACCATGTAATATCTTCTAAATGTTTTCATGTGTAATCTTTTTACACCAAAATACCGTCATATAACAACGAGAAGGTTTTCCAATTTCAATAACCGTTAAGCTTGTGATATGAGCTCTTTGATTTTTTATACATTAGGAGAAATCCATCAGTTATAAACCTAAAACAATTTTTTTCTTGTTCAACAAATAAAAATAAGACTTTCAGGTTACCTGTTTTATCCGAGTGACTCGCTGAGATGTTTGTTTTGCCTTTAGTCTGATCACGAGTTGCATGAAGGCTCACATGTTCTCCCAACATTGGTGACTTGAAAACAACGTCGTCATCTTTTGCTGCCGATAGATCTTCCAAAATTTGTTCTACCGAAGGAGGAGAAGGACCTTGGCGAGGTTTTGGACTTGACATTGAAAAAGAATCTAGAAATACCATCACGAAATGTGGGCTACATTTGAAAGGAAAAAATATATCACGCTCAGACAGCCGCCATTTTGGAAAAGGCTTGGGTTGGAATCCGCTGACCGCTTGTACGAAGCATAACTCTCCCCACTCCTTCCCGTCCTGTTAGGATAGAGCACTTCGAGGTAGCGGGAAATTGTAGCGGGAAAGATTTTCCTCGATTTTCCTCGATTTTCCCCGTGAAAACTTGATTGTTATGAGGAAAATAAACCTCGGAAAGCTACGGTGCTCTACACAGTCTTCTGTTAATGGTCATTCTCCAAGTTGCCCTTCCACAAAAAGCCAAACCCAGGCTACAATTTCGAGTTTCTTCGTTAGAAAACCATGTTCCAAGTCGGAGGATACTGACAACACAGGAGCGAAAGCTTCTAAGGTAAGCTTGTTTACAAGACTGCGGTATCTACTAACCCTGACTAACCTAGTGCAGGATTGTATACTCTTTATCTGGAATATTTGATATTTGATATCTACTGTTTCCTGAACAAAAGCAACGTAGAATGTACTGTTCTGGGTGGGAGAGGGTAGAGTTAGATGATGGCCTGTGTAATACGCAGACTCTGGACTGCAGACTGCAGATTGCGGACCCCGGGTAAAATGCAGACTGAGGGTAAAATGGAGTCTGCAGTCTGCAATTTACCCTCAGTCCGCATTTTATGCCCCAGTCTGCAGTCTGCAGTCCGTGTTTCACACTGACCTTGTAGAGGATGGATGGAAGGAAGGGGGGAGAGGAGAGGGGTTAGATGAGAGGAGAGGGTATGGAACAGTCTCTCGTAGTTACAGGGTATGGATAGAGCTAGACATAACATCTGCTTTCAGTCACTTTGGTGCAAATAAGTTCAGTGACATCTTCAACGTCTGGTGAGACAGAGATGCCATATGCCTATGTGTTGTTCCAGAAAATATCCATACCCCTCCCACAGAAGGTTTTGTACATGTAGCTTGAACTTCCCCTCTGGAAATTCCCTTTTAGTGTTGTATTTTCCTTTTAAAAAATGGGCTTTTGAAACCCCCCTCCCCCTTGGAATTTCTATTAACCTCCCTTGGGGTGGCCGTATGGATATTTTCTGGAACTACACAATATCCACTCAAGGTAATTCCTTAGTATTGCATTGCGCATCCCTACTGCACACGATTTTCGCGTCATTAGCGCACGCGCATACAAAACGTAAGAGATTTCCCTCAAACTAACCTTGATAGCAAAGTAAATGCTGCTTTTCTCTTAAACGAGCACGGTGACCCCCAATTTTTTTGTTCCAGTATTTGCTAAGAACTGTCTGATAAAGAACATATTTGAAGAAGAAAAAAAAGTTTGATAGTAGAACAATTTTTTTTGGAAAATGGTTCTGTACTGGGTGTATTTTGGCTAAGGCAAGGACTTCAAGCTAACCACGGAACTGTCCGAAAAAGTGCAATATTCCCACAACCAGGCAATCAAAAATGATTTAAATGAAGCAATACTGCTTATGTGAATAAAAGAAGCTTTACTTTCAAGATAAAATTTTGTGTCTTTGAAGTAACCAAGACTTAATTCTGTATGAAGGTGATTCAAATTTTTATTTAAGTGCAACCATTGAAAATAGCCCATTTTAAGAGCCTGCGGACGCGTAAACAAGCATGGTGACCCCATTTTTTTATTGCATTTTTTTAATGTTCATATCATGAATGTTAATTATGCCAAGTTTCAAAAAAAGTTTGATAGTAGAACAATTTCAAGGGAATTACCTTAATTGATTGTTTCTGTCACCATTTTGTCAACTTAAACATTAACTCACCTAGCCCTGTGCCCAGGGACATCTTTCCTCCTGCTTCCCCCTCCCTCTCACAATTTTTTTTCACGTCTATACATCTACAGTGTCCTTTGCTGTATACTTGTGAGTGAAATTTACATGTAATGTCAGTTGTTTATGAAATTTTGGGCATATAATGCCTAAATGGGACAGGTCCAGACCTGCCTCCTATAACCTCTCCCTCACCCCCTCCCAAATCCTGCACCCCTGCATAATTACAGTACTATAGTACAATAGATGAAATGTCAGTAGTTGCAGGCAAATATGAAAAAATCCCAGTCCTTGATGGGATTCAAATGTGTATAATTTGTACATGTACAAACTCCCAGATACCAATCTCTAAGTGCAATTAATTCAGTGGGAAAAATATTCAACATAGAGAAAATTTTATTGACTGATAGCAATTGTATTTTATTTATTTTTTTATTTTTTTATTTTTTGCAGAGGACTATCAGCAAGTCATCTCATGATGAGGACAACAATGAGTGCGTTGCACAGAATTCTAAGAAGCAAAGACTTCATCTGGATCAGTCCATGCAGGATGGTGACCAGGGTGATGACGACCATTTGACATTGACAAACAAGGAGACATTAAGTTCTTCCACAATGGCTAAATTGAGCTGCTTTCAAATGGACTCAAATTTAAAGGATCAGTCATCTAGAAACAACGAGTTGGGAATTATATCTCACTCCAGAAGTCACCAGGAAAATTTCAAGTTGGATAAAGATTTTGATAGCGAAAGTAGCGGGGCTCATATCTCTGTTCTTAACAATGGTGATATAGAGGAAATGGAGATAAACAATAGCATTTCTCAGGAAAGCTTCAACTTCACAAAATTTGCGTGCGTGTCGCACACACCTGTGAAATCAATCAGCAAGATTAAAGCTGTACTGGACAAGAGTGACGCAGACAGTTTGAAGTCTTTGAACTCCAGGACTAGATCTGCATATACACCACTGGAACTACAGTTTCTTGAAGTGAAGGCTAAATACCCTGATGTTATTTTATTTGTGGAGTGTGGGTATAGGTACAGATTCTTTGGAGAGGATGCTGAGGTAATTATCATACCTCCTTCTAGCTGTGTTGTTCCTGAAAATATCCACTCACCACCCTCGCGTAGGGTGTTTTGGTTAGAACCCTTCCCCACCCCTCTGGAAATTCCAGTTAAGCTTCATACTTACCCCTCAAAATATTTCTGTTTAAGGCCCCCCTACCCCACCGCTTGCAATTACCAATGACCTTCCATGAGCTGGATATGGACATTTTCTGGAACTGCGCAGAATGAGATTCGTTAAATCCGGTAATGATTGTCAGCAACCTTAACAAGACCTGTGTATCTATTATTACAGTGAGGACACTCAAACCTTGAACACTGGACATTGTGTTGTATATTTATTGAGCTCTTTAGAATTGGGGCTCTTCATACCATATAAAAGATTAGCATTTTTGCAGTGTAAAGACATTTAAAATACTTTTATTACTTTTTTTTGCCTGGTTTACCTGGTTCACTTGTCTGGTTCACTTGTTTCACCTGGTCAGGAGGCTAGGTCACCTCATTTAACTGGTTCACATGGCAGACTCAGTTGGCGGTGGGCAAAGTTGTGTCCAATAGCCTGTGGCGAGTGGATTGTATGGTTGAAGTGATCTCATAGGGAAGTGATTTGTTTGGAGAATTTTCTTTTGAGGAAATTTAGGAGGGGTTCTGGTGAGAATGGCTTTTGGGCAAGAACATCATACTGTAGTTACAATTTGTCCGAAGGGTAACATCAGAGATTGTCTTTTTTTTTTTGGCACCTTGCAACCACTTGCCCATGAAACAGTGCAAAAAATGTGAATATATTAAGCTATGTTGTACATGTACATGTAGATGGTTTAACATATTTATTGTTGGATAACAACAAACTTTAATGATACTTTCAACACAAAGTTGAGTGACTGAATGTTTCTTAATACAATGATGTGGGGGGTTGCATTAATCTTTATTGCTTACAAGCTCAAAAAGGTAAATGAATGAAAACCAGCGAACCATTATTATAATGTTGTCTTTTATAGATTGCTGCTAAGGTACTCAACATTTTTTGTCATATGGATCATAATTTCAACACTGCAAGTGTACCTACACACAGATTGCATGTTCACGTCAAAAGGTAATCAGTGCCGGCTGTTGACTGAAATTTTGATGTATCTGTGTAACTCAAGTACACAGGTAACCCCTAAAAGTAGCCTGAGGTAGCACAATGCCATTGTCGTGGTCTCATCATCATCATTATTGTCATCATTGCCGTCATCATCATCCTCATCCTCATCCTCATCGTCACCATTATCATCAGTGTTGTTGTTATCGTCATCCTTTATTTAATATTACAGGCTGTTAAAATGTTGGCATCTCATGACGTGATGTCCTGCTCTTCAGGTTGGTCAGTAAAGGTTACAAAGTTGGAGTGGTGAAACAAACAGAAACAGCAGCACTGAAAGCAGTGGGGGAAAACAAAAGCAAAGTTTTCACAAGAGAGCTGCAGGCACTGTATACAAAGACAACATTAGTTGGGGAAGGTATTTTTTTTGTCATAACCTTATTCATCTGTTTAGTGACCCAGTGGAATCTGGGTTGAGCATTCCAGGTTCGAGTGTACAGTGTAGGGTCATTACATTGTGTTCTGGGAAGCTCCTCGAATGGGTACTCTCATCCAATTTGCGCTTTCCCTTTGGAAATTATTATCTTCTATTTCTTCTTTTTCTTGTTTTTTGTTTTGCTTTGTTGTATTTTTTTTTTTTATCTCATTCCCAATAAAGTTTATTAAATGAAAAAGTTCCTGGGCAAGACACCTTACTGACAAAGTTCCTTTCCCTTTCAGCCAGGTTTATAATTGGTTACCCTACCATAATTATACTAAGTCTGTTTTTATTCTAGTGTCTAGAAGAATCTTTATATCCGGGACAAAGGGGAGGGGGAGGGGAACAGGTTGGCTGGGGGACTAGATATGCTGTCTCCCACTCTTTTTATGTTACAGAAACTGGGATAACCCATGGCAGTTTGGGACTACTGGCATGATGCAGGCTTTACATGTACATGATGTATCAGTTTTAGCTTTATTTGAAATAAAATAATAGAAATTAGCCCCTTACTGTAGATAGCTTGATGATACCAATTGCAAAATGTTTCCGAAAACATTGTAGATCCATGCGTGGGAGTGCATTGTCTTGCATTATACTTTTAAACTCTCCCAAACTTTTTGACACATTTGTAGCAGGCACAGTATTTTCATTTCTTAAAATAATGCATAGAGCGGTTTTCATTGAGTCCTGTCTATGGAGGTATTATCTATGACAAAATTTAATACTCAGTAATTGAAATAAAATCATTGCAGTCATGAATGTATCATTCTAAAGCTGAAATTATGGCAACAAGCTGATTTTGCAAACAGTCATAATGCATGCCTCTTTGTGCTATGCCTACTGCTGTCATGTATCTTTGTGTTTATTACCTCTTTATGTTGTGTGTATTTGTGTCATGACTAGTCGCAGAACCAGCTTGTTGCCATTCAACTTTGGGTTGATGCATTCATGATTGCAACGATTTTATTTCAGTTACTGAGTATCCAATTTTGTCATAGATACAACTCCATAAGTTTCATAAATCCAAAACCAAAACCAAATTAACTACCAACCAATAATTATTAGACCGCTCAGCCAGTCTCAAACTGTAGTGAAACCAAAACCAAAGTAATTGCCTGATTACTTTCAACACTCAATTGAAAACCACTCTAAAATGAAAATAGGCATTTAATCACAAAAATGCCCTCCTTGATTGCTTCATATAATGTATTAAAGATATGAAGACATTGGAAGAATTGGATGAAGTTGACTCTGTGGAGATGGGCAGTGGGTATCTTATGTGTCTTGTTGAGGTCGATGTGCAGGACTCTAAAACAAGCAGTGACAAGAAAATCTTTGGCTTGGTGGTAAGTTATTTACATTGTTGAACGGTGTCAGGCAGGGGCTCATTAAGGCCGGGCACTGGGCAATTGACTGACTGTGAGGCTGATTTTGTCCACTTCATTTGACCATCTGGAAGAAAGTTTTGCTCGCCTGTAAAACCCAGTAGCCCCCTGATGAAAATGTTATTGAGAAACTCCTGTGTAGCAGTACGTTTTGGTAAGGGTACATGTATGCATGTAAGTTGGGATACTTTCTTAAGGAAAAAGTGTAAAGCTAAGGTTTAACATACACCAACATTTAAAGTCATAGCCTATTGCTTAGTTCAAGGAGCAGATTCAAAGCTTGAAGCAGTGGCACATTTTCATACAAAAAAACCTTGAATTCTAGCTTGCCCTTAGGACAAGTATCTCTCAAATTTTGCTTGCCCTGGGTACTTAAGTCAACGATTTAGTTGGCAGACAACTTGCTTGATGACTTGCCCATTGGGCAAGTGAAAATGAAAAGGTACTAACCCAGAAGGAAAATCTCCTTGTCGCGGATGACAGGATGGCCCTTTCTTCAAGCCCTGTAATCTAAGCAGCCCTGTGGTGCATGACTGTGCCAGAAAACTGCTGACCAGCACCAGCTCAAGTCTAACTTTGCAAAATTACATTGTCACACAATTATGACAAAATACAGGTAAAACAACACTTCTTCAATTTTTTAAACTTAATAGACCCTATTCATAAATAGTACAAATAGTATTAAAAATTCTTTTGTAAGTATTAAAATTAGCCTGACTAACCTTGTTTTTGAGTTGATAATTCAAAAGAACTTTTACTGTTAAACTGAGTTTAGTGAGGCTAACTTAAATGCATTCAAAAGAACTTTAATTATGTATTGGGTCTATTAATACTTTTATTCTAACAATCCAAACTGAACCCACAAGAAATCTAGGGAAAAAATTTGCTGTGGGAATTTTTTGACAGGCTGTTCAGCCCTCCACTGGTGATGTCGTCTATGATGAATTTGAAGATGAGCCAAGTTACACAGAGCTAGAGTCTCATTTTGAGCACATCAGCCCAGAAGAGTTACTCCTTCCAGATTCCCTCACCGTACAAACAGAGAACTTCATCAGGGATTATGTTACAAGGGTACAAAGGTAATTGTCAATAGATCTTTATTTTCTGATGTTAGACTTTTTCTTGACATCTTTGAGTTCCCCCCCCCCCCTCCTATGAACACAAGCAATACCCCTAGCACTAAGAACAACAGAGGTGTAGATTAACAAGAACAAATGGTAACAGATCAACTGCTCTTCCTTACTTGAGATTTTTCTGGCAGAAATATAACATGGGGGCTAATCTTCTGTCTGTATCTGTACTATACCTTCAGTTAATAGTAATTTTTTATTTTAGGCTGGATTTTAAAAGCCTTGTCTCTGACCTATACATGTAGACATATATGACTGCAGATTTGGTCAAATCTCCTTAGGATATTAGCCAAAAAACACATGTGAGAAAATTCTCCAGCCCCCCTCCCCTTAAATAAGAACAATAATGGAAGTATCTAAGAGAATGGAAACAGAAAGCTGTGGACAACAATCATAAGGTCTTGGCTAACCAGAAATGCAGTTCCTCTTCTTTCAATTCCTATATTTCCTTCATACTGCTGTAAGAAAAAGAGTACATAAAGGATGTTGTTGTTGTCCCCTTTTAGCATCTTATTACTGATTATTTTATGAATGCATATATCTACTTTTTCATCTGCTACTTTTCTCTAAGAAAATGTCTGGCCCTATTTTCCATTGTGGGAAACAGAATTAAGTCAATATGGTTTGCTGCTAAGCACATTTCATTTTGTTAAAATTCCTACAGACCGGAGAACAGTATCAGACTTGAAAGAATGCCTGATCGACTGTTTGATCACTCAGCAGCTCTGAACTGTATCACAGAATTCTATGAAGAACATAGACCTGTGCGAAATGAGGACGTATGCAAAGTGAATATCACAAGAGAATCAAATGAGCAGCAAAAATGTTCAGCATTGGAAATGATCCTCAAATTACCCAAGTCAGTTCAGACGTGTTTTGCAGCACTTATCCAGTACCTCAAAGATTTCAAGCTAGAGAGAATTCTCAGATTAACAAGGTACCTACATGTTGGGTGTAATTGTAAAGCAGTGTATATCTCCGTCACAACTTCCTGGTCACAAACTAATTCATTACAGTATAACCAATAGCTCAGGATATGCTACCTTCTGGCCCTTTAGCTCAGTTGGTATAGAGCAACAGTGATCTAATCTGGAGATTGTACTTTCCAATCGTCACACACAAATGTTGTGTTCCTGCGTTTTCCTTTCAATTTTGTGACTTTTTTTGTCACATTCCATTGATTAACATTTTTCTTTGGAAAATAGCTTTCCAGCGGATTAAAATTATTTTTTCTAGCGAGCATATTTTATACCCTTTCAATTGACATATTGCATTCTTCACTGCTGTAAATATTTGTGGAGATATTAAATAAGACGTGTCACTGTCAATTTATTCGTTGAAAATGAGTTGAGGGCTAATCTTCCCAGAGATGGAAAATTATGGGTTATTTCTAACACTCAAAATTACTATAGAAAAAGGTAAGTTGACATCAAACCAGGTGGTCCATGCTGCCAGAGCTTATCCCAGTGTCTGTAACATTTAGCAAATCAGGGTATTTCTACCCCCCNTAATTCATCACAGGGTTAATTACCCCCCCTCCCCCCCTAAGCATTTAAGGGTCTTACCCAAGAACCAAATGCAGTGATCACGGCCTGGCCTAGATAGACTGTTCTGTCTAGAGTTCAGCACATCAACCACCAGACCATTGAGCTCCTCCCTCATAATTACTATACATATACGGTTTCCAGCTATCTAACACATCAGCGGTTGTGACCTGCTTAACTGACGACCATTTCCTGAATGCAGTAGTAGTTATATAGCATTTGGCCAATAGGCCATTTCAAAAGGGCTAATCAATTTTACTAATTATTAACTTAATATTTTTTTTTCTGCTAATCAGTAGCCTTTGCAGGTTCTCCATCCAAAACAAATGTCTAAAACTAAGTGGACAGACTCTAAGGAACTTAGAAATATTTAAGAACCAGGTATGTAAACTACAGAGCGAGTGTGTATTGAGATTAAATGGTACTTTCAAGGTGGCAGATAACTTTGCTACAGATATAATAATTAGTCATGTATGTGTTAGGATGGTAATAATTTGATAAATGATGCTCTCTACTAAATTACTGTAAGTTTGCAGAAATTTTTTTCATTAATGAATATCTTTTTTGACATGGTCTGTGGAATACAATTTGATGTAGACAGAACTCATTTTTTGATAGAGAATAATTCCACTGGCTTCATAGTTTGGTTGTATCATTGTACAATACCTGTATTGCAACAGAACTTGCACTGAAAATGTCAAGATTTTCTGAAATTATTTTACAACTGTGTGACTTCATAGACATAATGCACATTGTGAGATTGTTACAACTGAAACTACCTTGAAAACATCAACATTTTCTGTGGAGCATTAGACATACTACGCATCGAAATGTGGAATGCTATCACTGGAACTTTTATTACTTATGGTGATTCGGACTTTGTATTGCATTGCGCATCCCTACTGCGCAAGATTTTCGTGTCATTAGCGTGTCGCACATGAGCGCACGCGCGTACAAAACATAAAAGATTTCCCTCAAGCTAAGCTCGGCAGTGAAATAAATGCTCGTTTTCTCTTAAACAAGCTTGGTGACCCCCACTTTTTAATGCACGAATTTAAATAACACAAAGTTATCTACAATATATATATCGATTTGAAGAAAAGTTTAAAATGCTGCTTAAAAATATTTTGATTTTAATGCTGTAAAGAACACGTCTTTAGGTAGTGCTGGGTACTCGCGCACATAGAGAATTCTTGAGTTTGTAATATAATCGTAATTCCTGTTTAACTAACATGATTTAAAACGTCAGTTCAGGGTCTAGTTTGTTTAACTTCTCTGTTAATTTAATCCAGTAAGCGCTTTTCTTAGAATTTCTAACCCTTTCTGGTAACTAAGGTTAAGTAATGACAACCTCATTGGTCGCTATAAGACCATCCACGTTGTGCAAAAACGAGCACAGTGACCCCTATTTTTTATTGCATTTTTCTAATATACATAACATGATAACCAACTGGATGAAGTTTGAGAAATTTTTTAATACTCCTTGTTTTTAAGTGGAATCACCTTAATCTCATTCACAGACCAATGGAAGTGAAAAGTCCTCTTTATTCTGGGTCATTAACCACACCACAACAGCTTTTGGCCGAAGACTCTTGAAGAAATGGATTTCACAACCCTTACGTGATGTTAGGTACATTTGAACGTACCATTTTATGTCGTATCCACACTAAGCCGGAGAAATTTAAAAACGGAGGTTTCACTCTGAAAACGCGTGAAATGTTTTCCATCCGCACTACGCCGGAGAAATTTGAAAACACAACAATAATTATTACCGGTCATTTTGGATTTGTGGTTTTTACAAAATGTTTCCTGTCCACACTAAAACGTAAAGCCAGCGTTTTCAAATTCCTCCGGTTTGAATAGCCTTTCCGTTTTCGTGACGGATTAGTGTGGATAGGTAAAGGTAAAGGTAAAGTCTGCATGCGAGCTAAGTGGTCCATCAGGCCGGAGCTTATGCCGGTTTCTGTAGCATGAAGCGACTAGGAGTATTTCTACTCCCCCCTGGATGGGATGCTAGTCCATCGCACGGTTACCCCCAGCATTAAGTTCGCCGGTACCCATTTATACACCTGGGTGGAGAGAGGCACTGTGAGAGTACAGTGTCTTGCCCAAGAACACAACACAATGTCCCCGGCCAGGGCTCGAACCCGGACTGCTCGATCCGGAGACGATCGCACTAACCATGAGGCCACCGCGCCTCTCCGGATTAGTGTGGATGGAAGTGCGTAATTGAGAAACAAAGCTGTGTTTTCAAATTTTTCGCATGTGTTTCTATTGCTTGAAGGAAACACGTCGAAAATGTTTTTGACTTGTTTATTTCCATGACGAAAATGTGAATTCTCTTTGCTGTCACCATCCTTTCATCAACAGCTCATGGAATAGTAGTTCTGTGTTTCTATTAAGTTTTAGTATAAATCTACTAGGCTGCGTTCTATCGCGAATGCCATTCTCTTATTGCCTACGCTACTCACTTTCTAATTAAACAATAGAGTGTTTCTATCGAGGAACTATCGGCTGATAGTTGCCCCGCGGAAATTTGATGTTCTTAAAACAAATATTTGCCCGAGAAGCGAAGCTTCGAGGG